AGTGGCTTACGTTACGAATAGACAATAAAGTTGGAGGGAACCATTATGGGTGTAGTAAATCAAGAGAAAAACAGAGATTTACGTGGAGTGATGAGAGAAAGAAGATTCAACTTGGTCATGAGAGAAAATTAATCTTAGACTGAAATTTCCACCGTTTACATACCCATGCATAGTAGTCTCATTGCCATGCTGTCGAAAGAGGGCGCCGACATGTCTGTGATGGTCGAGCTCACAGACATGACACGCATATGAACAACTGAAGTCAGTTCTGAGTACCGTAATTTTTGCAACACCCGAGACTAAACATAAAACTGTGGGCGACAGTTCACTATGTGCGTACACACGTTTGTGGAGCGATAAAGATCAGAATTTTCGGATAATAACACACAGGGGATGACTGAAAACACTGTAAAGTTTTCGTTGCACAATTTTGATTTGATGGAGGTTTGCAAAAGAGGTTTTCAGTAAATAAGGCCTCTGAGTACACTTCTATATAAACGACTATATCTGTGAAGACCTTAGACCTCAATAATAGCCAGGATTACTTGCCATTTTCATATCGCAGTATTTTCAGAGATCATTAGCATATGTTTTAAAGACAGGGACATTTTAACAAGCAACCGAGTATTATTAAAACGATAAAAGTATAAGGAAAACGAACGCCGACAGTTTGTTTGATTAATTTGTTATGATGCTTGACTGTGAAGGATGGATTTATTTCATTTCGGGTACACAAGGTGAAAACTCATTTCCAATAGTTTTACGCATGATATGTCACACCTCAACTCAGCTGGGTATCATACAGACATATTACATGCACAGGAATATAATCACGTATTTACACAGGCACGGATGAAGAGCAAATTGTTGCCTGCAGTACCAATTTAAGTTGTGCTGATAGAAGTTAATATTCTTCCTAAAAATTGCTCTTTTCATATCATAACATGCGTACAATAGGAAGATACAGAATCAGTGCATGGTCCTCGAGAGAATGGGGCTAATGGTCCGAGGTCGAGAAATTTGGGAAGCTTGCGGTGCGTGCTTTGCTCAGTCGCGTTCTACAGCACAGATCTCAAACGGTAACGGCGAGAACGTGAGGCTAATCTTCCCTTCCAAAGCCAGCGGCGGTGCATCGGCAGGTTTCATGAAGGTGAACCGGTGCATGAAATAGCTGAAGAAGATAAAGAGTTCCATCTTGGCCAGGTGCTCACCCAGACAGATACGGCGACCTACAGGAATCGGGTCAGAGAACGAGACAACATTACCCTGAAGCTACAAACCCCAAACAGCCAATTTCCCTTCAAATGAATTACCGGCATTTTGGGATAATCCAAGATCGACGAGAACTGTTTCCAGAAGGACTATTCTTGGTTTTGAACGATAACGCTATCGTTCAACCAATTATTGACGCTATACGATGATGACTATATACAGCAATATTTTTCGATAAAAAAGCTAAGCCAGCTAAGAAACAAGCAGAAAAAGTAAAACGATTTCAAGTAATATATGAAAATTGTTTCTACCAAAAATAAGCAACTACACCTCATAGAAAATATCGACACATTTATTTCTCGATACAAGGATCACTCACCGACGCCAAAAGGTATAAACTCTTCTGGTTTGAACGCCTTGCCCTCGTCGTTCAGAAATCGTTCTGGCTTGAACATCTCCGGTTCGGGCCAGATTTTCGGGTCTCGGAAAATCCTCCACATGTTGGAAACCAGAATGGTGCCTTTTGGAATCAGGAAGCCCTGCAGCTGAGTATCGGAGGCGGCGACGTGTGGCAAGCCCAAGGGGACGATACTGGCCATCCTTTGGACCTCCCAGATCACGGTTCGGGTGAGGTTCAGACCCGGTTTATCGGCCAGTCTGGGTAGCCGATTGCGACCAACCACGGCATCAATCTCAGCCTGGACACGCTGTTGAATCTCCGGGTAGATGGCCATGTAGAGAAAGCACCACTCCAGCGTAGTGACCGTGGTCTCAGAGCCTGCTGCAAAGAGATCTGATACAGTATAAAGCATGTTTGTTTCGTTCAAACGGCTGTAAATCGAACGTTCTTCAGTTGCTGTGCGACTGAGTTCACCGCTAGCGCCTGCCAAAGTACCTGCGTTTATTTTGATTTCCATGAGGTAAGCATCGATGAAATCTTTGAGATTGTGAGGGTCCAGTGTATCACGATGGGAGTTGATGATGTTTGTTAAGAATGATAGAAGCTGACTGAAATCAGAGAAAAGCTGTTTAAGATTAGACTTGAAAACAGGTAAAAGCGTGAGAGCTGGGAATACCAGAACAAATCCACCTGGGCCTGTTGAAGTGATGATACTGCTCAGCAAAACTAACAGTTGTTTGAAATGACGATCGTTGTACTCGTAGCGAATTCCAAGGGCAACGGAGGAGATAACATTGGCCACGGCGCTGCTGAGCAGAGGTTTAGGGTTGAAGGCCTTGCCGTTGATTACAGACATCTCCTTCAGCAGTTCCTCGCCTTCAGTCCCGATCTGCTCTTCGAAGCTCGATTTACCGATGCCGAGACCTCGAAGGACAGTAAGGCTGAAGCGACGCATCTGGATCCATGGCTCTCCAGAAGATTGCGATACTCCTGTAAAGTTTAAGTAAAAGTAAAATCTGCTTCATTATGAAAAATCTCTCTAGAACATTAAGGAGAATATTGTTATTGAATGTCCACACTGTTTTCGTGCAGCTGTCGGTTTCTGTGTACTTTGTTTGTAGGCCTATTTGCTTTTTTGGCTTAATACCAGAGTTGTAATGATTCCAGTCGATGCGTGACAACTGTGCGTAATACTAGTTATTGTCACTTGATCTTCTAATACTTTTGAGTTCGACGTTGCGGTCACTTCTACGTCTTGCCGTCCGCCAGGCGATTCTCAAACATAATGGCCGAGTTCGGGCGGCCTGTTCCCGTATGTTCACGAACAGCTCGATTTGTTGTTCGTGGGTCGGCCGCTCGAATGCATGGAACAAACCACCGGTTATCGCTGGTAGTTAGTGACAAGCAACATGCAACATGGCGGCGTCCATGTAGGGTACGTTATTCGAGAGTTAATGTTTGGATGGGCTGAGTTCTTTTCTATATAAACAGGAACATTTATTTCTTTGCTACGGAAAAAATTAATGTTAATTTTGCAAAACTTCCCGTTGTCTATGTTTTTGGAAGTCATCTCTCTACTTTTTGCAGCTGTTCAAAAGTCAAAATCTCACGAGTTTTTCCGTGTGTTCCTGTAAAACACCGACGAGGAGGTGGTGTGTGATCCTGTTCCGAGAACAGTGTTCTTGAGTCGTGTTCCCGCCGTTCGAATGCGAGAAAAAGAAACCCGTGTCAAGAACAGGCCGCCCAAACTCGACCATTAATATTAGTAGGGGCCTATTAGCCTCGAGCTGGACAAAGAGAGGGCGCAATTTTCTTAGCAACCGTGGTCAGAACTGAACTTCTCTGCTTCACAAACGACTATGAAATGTAAGCGTAACGGTTGCATCGTTACGAACAACATGAACATGCCCGACTCTTTTCAACCGAAGAGAGGGTGCTTCTGCTGGAGGCGCTTTAAACACTTGATTTCAACTGCACTACACACGCGCTCTAACGGCTATGTTTTTCAATTCTTTGAGAACTACACAAACTATCAAAACCACTAATACGAAGAAGAAATGTCTTGTCCAACATATCTCATGCATGTTCATGCCCTTCACTTGGTTTGAGCGCAGGGGGTACTGAATCCCACTACAGCCAGAAGTCAGTAAAATGGCTCTTGACTCGGACAGGTGGACCCCAAAAGTAATCGATCAACATCAAGCTCTAGTTTTTCACGTGGCATCAAAATTATTTGAAGTTAAACCCGGCAAAATTGTGAAAATTAGACAGAAAGTTAGATTTAAAAAAAACAATAATTTTTTTATATTTATCTTTTGACGTAAATTTGTCGTTTTCCACTTCTTTGATAATTTTTGGGAAATCCTTCTTACCAGAAACTATTAAATATCACCACAATTTATTCACACACAAGGTCTTCAATGGAAATGGCAGGACAAATCCCTCACCGATTTGCGCAGTCTGGTAGAATAGCAGCTTTCAGGCTAACGACCACGTGTCACTGTTGCGCATGCACAAATACTCAAACTAAATGCACGCACAGTCTATGGGGACCGAACATATTACGTGGTCTCTTTCATTGATGTGTCTTTGCATATCGGACACACACAGAATAATGGCCAGTGCCATTTAAAAATAGAAATTTATAAATAGCTCAGACATTCTCCCTATATTCAACAACGTGCAACTTGACCGTGTATGTTAACCTTTTGATAATGCCCGCTGAGAAGTGATAGTGCCCGCTGCGGAAATCACGCGCTGGATCGATTGTGATTGGCCAAGAGTCAGTGTGCATGCGGCTCGCCACATGCGCGCCAATTGGACAGTTTGCACAAGAAATATTCCATAAAATTGACGGAGTATTCGGTAAAATGGAAGTAAGATTCTCGAACAAAAATCGCTGAAAATCTAACTCTCTGACTATTGGTATTTATGAATTGCAATAAATACGTGCATGGCAGATCACTTTAAGATCTTGCTCAGGAGAACAAGCGCTGATAATGCCCTCGCCTGGGGCGCGGGCATTCGGCCTAGTCGCATCCATTCTCCTGAGCCGGTTTTAACATGCGTTTAAGACCGGTCAACCACATTCCCTCATTCCCTTATTAAAAAGACCCGCCTCGTTCATTTCTATTGTAATTCAGACGCCCTGTTTGTATGTTTCATTTTTCGTTTTGGCCAAATAAACCATAAACGTACAAACAAGACAATATTCGGCTCCCGGAGTTTGACCAAGCCGTGTCTTAAGTTTTTCGCATGAAAAACATATCTAGGTGCAAACAATGATTAGGAATGTATGAAGATTAATGCATGCATCGTGTTTTATGGCTCACAGAAAATTGCAAAAGACTTCACATTTTTACGTCTTAATTTTATTATGATAAATGTGAAGAACTTTTCCATGTATTAGAATTATTTTGCTACCTTGCTGATCCTCGGCAAGTTGTATTTAATCCTTCCCCGACTCCTTCACCTTCGACTCGTGGCGTATCCAGAGGGGGCAGGGGGGAAACGGATTTTTATAATTTTATTTTAATTTCGTTTATCAAATTTTTATTTTAATATTTAAGTATCCAACGTTTGCACCAAAACCTAAAGAAAACAATACCATGAAACAAAAGCTAGGACTTTGTTACCGTGATTGAGGCTTTGGATATATTTTTCTCCCCCAACATCATGTTAAATCAGCCAAAAGCCGCATTAATTCGCTTTTGAATTTGCCTTCCTGACACCAAAAGCTGGATACACTACTGCCTTCGACTGTGTCGTTCATAAGGTAATCCAACTTACAGTTTCTGCAGCATATTGCACCGAAAGATTGTTTAAAAATAAACTTTACCAGAGTGTCCATGAGATGGTCTGTCATTTAACTGTGGGTGCCAGAAAGCCGCCTTTGTCGACTCGAAATCGTCCAGGATGACCACGCTTTGGTTGAACATAGAAACACGGAAGACTGGGCCGTAGCGTTCCGCGTACCTCCCCAGAACATGATGGGGCTGTAAACCTTTCCTCAGCCCCCAGGCGATGGCTGGTAGAGACCCCAGGAGTGGGAATTCCCAGGGGCCGGGTGGGAGGTTCCTCGGCCGACGTAGAAACCATCGAAGAACTAGAAGCAGAATTGTAAACGCTAGAAGTGTGCGCATTGCACTAAAAAGGAGCCACAGCCAGGTCAAATTCAATTCCATTTTTTCACATACAAAGTTTATAAGGATACAATCTGACAAGAAGAACGTTAATTTGACAACAGAAATTATTCCTCGAAAGAGAGATCAAAATGTAGAACCCGACTGGATCCTGGGCTGCTACATCTATAGACTATTGGCAATGTATGTACAGTACATAACCTGATGATCATCACCTGAGGGCTTTTATTAAAGTGGTTTGATGTGAAGTTCGAGCAGTAACAGAACTTTGACCAAAGAGTATTTGACAGTGTCAACATGGCCTATTGTATGATTGATGGGAAGTTGAAGCTTGTTTTCGAAAATATTTTTTTCACCATTACCTGTTGCAGTTTGGAACATTTTCCCCTCGTAATTCAAGGACCACTGTCATTTGCAGTGTATCAGCGAAGTAAATGACGTTATGATTTTTTTGTGCGCGCAGCTAGGCTTCCAACGATTCAACACCAAGGTTAAAATCTTTGGCGGAAAATCAAACACACCTACAAGGTGTCCACATAAAAAGTATACCGAGATAAAAATTACGGTGATAGCAAAATTACTTTATATATGGGAAAGAGAAATAGATCCCTAGAAAGGGCAGAATGCCCTTTTTGTAATGGTATACAGCTTGTGATGTTATTGACACAGATGAGTGAACAAACTAGACCGATGTTAAGGGTACTGAAATCGGCACAGTGACAAGTTTGCATATGTGATTAACAAGGCTAGACTATGCAAGTGTGCAAGAATTACTCCAAGAAAGATATCCTGATCGTGTTCCTGCAGCCAATTACCATTAAGATACAATGTTTTGATTCACGTTGCGCTTCATCGTCTCCTCCTTGGAGATCTCCGCTTCTTTGAAAGGTTTCATCTTTGGGCTGAAATGAAAGCCCCGGATTTTCGGCGCCTTTCCGCTAGACCCTACCCAGGGTCACAAGTGTTCAAAAAAGAGATAATTCCTTTGGCTGTCCTGTTGTCAGTCTATGTGTTTGTAATGTGAACATCAATTTTGGAGTGCCAGGCATGTCGAGCACGAAGCTCGGGGTAAGTTTGTTCGATTTTCTTATTTTACTTCTTGCAACTTTCTCTTTTAATTACCGGCAACAACGCCCCCCATCACCTCCTCGACCGTTGCCGAGGCTACGCCCCTTCGTTCGACCTCTCACCTGCTAATTAGACACACACCTTTGACCTTTTTTTCGCTCACCCACTAACCTTTCCAAACCTGGAAGTCGTGACCCCTTACCTACTAGTAATCCGGAAGTCGTAATCTCTTACCTACTTACTCGTCACCGGAAGTCAAGGTCAAACTGGGCTATACTAGACCGGAAGTCGGTCAAGGGTCAGGGGCCAACTGGTATATACTAACTACCTTTACTACTATTAACAAGGCTAGACCATGCAAGTGTGCAAGAATTATTCCAAGAAAGATATCCTGATCGTGTTCCCGCAGCCAATTACCATTAAGATACTATGTAATGACTCGCCTGACTGCATTGTGAACACATCTGGTCTATATTAGAAACATTTCTTACGAGTTTCTGAGAATTGCATAGGATTTGTGTGTTGGCATTTCAACTGAAACTTGGTCCCACGCCCTCTTTGCCTCATTGTCCAAACAGAATGGTTGTTCAGCCATCCATGACTGTGTATGAATAAAAAAAACACATCATTAGAAAGAGAGGATCTTTGGCCTTAAAGTGCTTATAGGTATTTCGGTATGAAAAAAACTTAACACAATCAGTTTTGTTACGTTTTGTATATGTTTTATAGGCCCTATATCATTTCTCTCTCAAAATGTATTAATGTGTTTTTGTTGATCTTGCAACGTGGACTCAAGAGCGATTGCCTACGGAAGTCGGCTCTTTTATGTTTGACACTTCCCTTGATGGCTTCAATATGGAACCGTTAGGGCTGTAAGGTTAGTGCCTAGCGCACAATCCTGCCATTAGTCACTTTAGCCTTCTGTGGAAATGGTGATAGTTGGTGATCTGTTTCAAGAGTGACACGTTTGCTTTAAAGGTATAGCTGAAATTTAGGATAGCCCATACGATGACGAAACACTCTTTTTCCATCAATAAGTTTGAATCCAACACACGAGAGCGGTTAATGACCACTTTTTGAAAGTGTTGAATCCAACATTTCAATTTTAAACCCAGCATTTTAAGTATCAAGTATTAAACCCAACAGTTAAGATTTAATCCAACAATCTAAGTGTTCATTCAACTTTTCCCTCGATATAGTTGTCGCATCATTTCAAATATTGAATTACCGGTAACATTTGAAATGCTGAATTTAAAATTTAAAGACTTAAGACTTTAAAGACGTTAAGAACGGTGTTTTGACGTCGCTAAAAGGTAGAATGCTTGAGAATTACCGCAGGATTTTAGGATTCATAATGTTGAATTAAATATAACTTTCGAATTGCATAACGATTAATGTCTGGATCACACATGCACAGACCAAATGCTCGTCATGAGTGAGAATTCACGATCTTTGGAATAAAAAGACTGACACTTTAAAACTGAAAACATAAACAAGAATAATCCGTCACGAGGAGCAGGTGAAATTGATTATGCCGCTAGAGATTATCAAATAAGTAAAAAGTACCTATGGAAGTTGTGCTGATAGGAGTTAATATTCTTCCTAAAAATTTCTCTGTTCATATCATAACATGTGTACAATATGAAGCTATAGAATCATTGCATGGTCTTCGAGAGTATGGGACTAATGGTCCGAGGTCGAGATATTGAGGGTTTTTCTATCATAAATTCGGGAAGCGTACGGTCTCGCTTTGCTTAGCCGCGCTCTACGGCACAGATCTCAAACGGCAACGGCGAGAACGTGACGCTGTTCTTCCCTTCCAAAGCCAGCGGCGGTGCATCGGCAGGTTTTATGAAGGTGAACTGGTGCATGAAATAGCTGAAGAAGATAAAGAGTTCCATCTTGGCCAGGTGCTCACCCAGACAGATACGTCGACCTACAGGAATCGGGTCAGAGAATGAGACAACATTACCCTGAAGCTACAAACCCCAAACAGCCAATTTCCCTTCAAATGAATTACCGGCATTTTGGGATAATCCAAGATCGACGAGAACTGTTTTCAGACGGACTATTCGCATAAAATCTCGATCATCGTAAGAGTAGCGCTTTCCAAACACGACGGTACAGATGACGTTGGCCACGGTGCTGCTGAGCAGAGGTTTAGGGTTGAAGGCCTTGCCGTTGAATACAGACATTTCCTTCATCAGTTCCTCGCCTTCAGTCCTGATCTGCTCTTCGAAGCTCGATTTACCGACACCCAAACCCCGGAGGACATTCAGGCAGAAGCGACGCATCTGGATCCATGGCTCTCCGAAGGATCCCGATACTCCTGTAACGTTTAGGATAGAAAATTTACATCGTAAAAGGCTCATCTAGAAAACTGACATAAATATTTGGAGACCCCAGTTTGTCTGGTTCTATGATTTGGTTCTTGGAGATAGCTATTGATGTTATTTGATGTTACCTCTTGAGTTTCCTTGCAAATTGTCGCCAGACTAATTTTACCCCTTCTAATAGTCAATGTATCCCATTCTTGGTCAGAAAGACTTCTCGTATTATTTGATCCCCTGCTGTAATTGCCTGCAGTGAATCTTTCAGGTCTATTTTGAACTTTATCTTACTTGGCTTCATTGGATGTATAACGAGGGTTCCAAAAGGCTGAGCAATACAGAAGTTTAAAATAATCTATTAGCATGTTATATTACAACCACCTACAAGCACGGCATTTTAAATGGAAGTGTGGGCTCGAGATCGGGTCGCCATTTTTTTTTTCAATGTAGGCTGAGTTACGTCATGAACACATGAATAATTCAATCGAAGGCTAAAACGAAGTTGTTTATAGCCTCCCCCGGAAAGTAGGGGAGAAACAGTGAAAAACATAAGCACTACCTTAGAACATGTGCAAGAGTACTATTTTGCAAGCACAGGGGATGGAACTGAAAGAGAAAACAGTAAAGGCGCCCTCTATACACATGGTGTGGGCAAAGGGCTTTGGACAGCACAAGACGTGTCGCGTTGGGCGTTGCAACGTGCATCGCTTCGTGCTTCCGGTGACGTTACACGCGACGCGACGTACTACAAGATGTATGACAAGCCTGAGATATCACGACACTACATGTGACAGCACGACGTGACGCACGACGCGCGACGCGGTGTAGGTACAAAAGTAATCATGAAAATTAAGGCGAAAACGCGACATGATGTCACGATGCAAGGGAACCGTCGAGCTGTGGCGTTGTGTAATTGCGAGCCTCATGGGCGAGGCGAAGAGGTGCGCCTTCAATGTTAACAGAAATTGAAAACATTTAGTTCACATGAAGTACTTCTTCGAAATAACAATAATACGTAACCATTTCCAAAATATCTTAAATTCAATGTTTACCCCATTAATATTGGCCGCAAAATGAATAAAAAGATCCTGCTTTTCCCTGCCCTCAAAAAAACCGTTTTGGCCATTCACACTCCTAGGCTGATTTGATGACGTTATCAGCAGAACGCCTATATGTACTGTGTACGTGTACATTGCATGATTGCACACAGTAAATGCGGTATCGCACGCTTGCACGTTGTGTTCGATGTAGCTCGGCTCACATGCAAACACCGTAAATACTCGGGACTTATAGTTGTGCATATAAATTACCGGCGCCGGAACAATTCTCACGACTGTAGTTGTGAATACTTATGTCCCTCCAGGGCTACCTTATGTTTTGGTTTTATATCCTTCCTCTCAAATGTGAACAACGCGCTCAGCATAATTTTTATCGACAACCTAATATTTACTCATTTGATATCCTGACATTAAACCATTTAAATACTTGCAGCCTTATAGGAATTGGAGAAGGATGATTTTTTCACAAAACCTCGATACTAATAGCCAAATGATCACCTGTTTCGTAACACGCACAGTATAAAATAAATGCATCTGCATAACCCCTTTCCGCGCGATGTTGTATCAGCAGGCAATGTCTACGTTCATTAACCGAGGGGAGAGAGGAAATAAATGTCTTTGGAAACCATTCGCCGTTCAGCAATTTATACATTAAAAAGACCATTTTATACAATAAAAAGACCAACTGAAAAACACAAAGTTCATTTTGAACAATAAAAATAAAAGATCCGTTTGAGCAATGAAAAGAATATATTTTAACAATGAAAAGATCAATTTACACCATAACAAATCAATTGGAACGATAAAAAGAACAATTTGAACAATGAAAAGAGTAAAAGAGCAATAAAACGAGTAAAAGGGCAATACATAGAGCAGTTTGA